TAAAGCAGCAGTTTTCAAATATTTCGGTCTTGGGACCCTTTTACACTCCTTTTTTTTTTTAAGAAAGAGTCTCACTCTGTCACCCAGGCTGGAGTGCAGTGGTGCGATCTCAGCTCACTGCAACCTCTGCCTCCTGGGTTCAAGTGATTTGATCCTGCCTCAGCTTCCCAAGTAGCTGGGATTACAGGCACGTGCCACCACACCCAGCTAATTTTTTGTATTTTTAGTAGAGACAGGGTTTTATCGTGTTATCCAGGATGGTCTCAATCTCCTGACCTTGTGATCCGCCCGCCTCAGTCTCTCAAAGTGCTGGGATGACAGGCATGGGCCACTGCTCCTGGCCTGCACTATTAATAATGATTGAGTACCTCCAAAGAGCTTTGCTTATGTGGGCTATGCATATATCCACACTTACCATATTAGAAATCAAAACTGAGAACATTTTTAAACAAAAGACTACAGAAATACACATGCCACATGGCCTCTAGAAGACTTCACAGTATACTCAGAAGAGAATGAAAGTGAGAAAAATAAATATTAGTGTTATTATGAAAATAGTAACAACAACAACAAAAAAATGACTGCATGAATTCAAAGATCTTGGGAGACTTCCAGAGGTCCCTGGGCCACACTTTGAGAACTGCTATCTTAGGTCTCTAAAGGTTAGAAAAATAAGTAGCAGAATTTAGACAAGCAATACATTGTCTAAATTCAGGTAAAAAGTATCCTAAGTTTGGCAACTTATAAGCATTTTGAACAAATTTTTACAGAAGCATTAAAGCATAAGAGCACACCAAGATGTATCAGCTATAAAAAAACAGAAAGTCCTACAAAACAGGGTAAGAATATTTACATTTGCTGACTAATAGCTAAAATAATCTGTGTAACAAGGAAATACTGCCAGGCGTGGTGGCTCACGCCTGTAATCTCAGCACTTTGGGAGGCCAAGGCGGGCAGATCACAAGATCAAGAGATCGAGACCATCCTGGCCAACATGATGAAACCCCGTCTCTACTAAAAATACAAAAATTAGCTGGGTGTGGTGGCACGTGGCTGTAGTCCCAGCTACTCAGGAGGTTGAGGCAGGAGAATTGCTTGAATCCGGGAGGCGGAGGTTGCGGTGAGCCAAGATCACGTCCCTGCACTCCAGCCTGGCGACAGAGCGAGATTTCATCTCACGGAAAAAAAAAAAGAAATAACTTTTGAAAAGCAAAACAAACACTCAAATTATAACTCTTGTCCTGAGAAAGTAGGAGGGCTGTTAGGTTTAGGTGAAAATGGCTAGCTTCCGTATAATGGAATAGTGAAGCGGTCGTGTTTTCTGAGAGTTTGATAAAACACAGAGAATCATTTCCAGTAACTGAGAAAAATCTCAGTTTCATAAGCAAACTCTGTATCTGAATCAGATATCCTTTCCCATGGCCCAACTAATATGCATGATTCATTGGCCTCTATGTGCATTGAAATCTGTGTAAAATCTGCTTGTAAGTACATAAGCAAATGAAGCTCAGAGCTCTATTAAAAAACAGTAGTGTTATCTGTCAAGTATATGGTGCAAACCATTTGAGAGCCAAGATTCCAGAGGAGAGATGTAAGCAATGATTATGGTTATTTGTATGATTCAAAAAGGAGCAGAGAGAATGCTAAACACTTAAAAAACCATCTAATGCCACTGAATATAGAAGACCTTATATGCCTTGACATATCTTAGCAAGCGCATCCTCCTCGCAGAACAGTGCTAGGACCTTAGTGGATCATTCTCTGACTTCTCCTGCTTTTTCTTTTTATCGACATCAAATTACCTTTCATTGATACAGACGCGCAAAATCGAACTTGGAAATACTCAACACCAAATCAAACAAAACAAAACAAAACAAAGTCATCCCAAACACTGAAAGCGTAGGGAGGCATGGAAAGGCGTGTTTCTTGGGGAAACCTTAGTATTTTAGGTTAACAGTTGTGAACGGCGCAGACTCTGTGACAGCTCTGCTTCTGGCCAGCAGACTCTGAGCAAGTCAATCTTGTGTACTCATGGCCCCTTCTGTGCTATGGGGGTAATGACCCATCCTCCTGTGGCTGTTATGATTAGTAAATGAGACTGTTATGAGGCTGTTAAATGTCTAGTATAACGCTGGCCACAATGAATGTTAGCTCCTATATTGAAAAGTCCATGAAAAAGACATAAAGCTGGCGCTCCTATAAGCAAAAACAGCAATGATGAAGCAGAAAATGAGATTGATCTGTACAGCAAAAGCTGTATTCCATAAGGAGGCTTTTATGCTGAATGGTACAAAAACGTTCTTAAATGACTTGACTGCTAGCAGTGGTATCACCCATCTGGGCCCATAGGAGAGGAAGGGGCATCTGGTATATGCAGTACTGTCCAGTTTAACTCAAGAGGCAGACACCCAAGGGACTGCTGTCAGCACCTTCCAATTTCATAATATCTGTACTTTAATCTCTTTTATTATATTAATTTACTCTTAATTTTCATTTCCTTTCCTATGACTTAAAAGGGGGAAAGGAGATTGGGGAAAGTCAATGAGAGCTGTTTGCACCTTGACAGTCGTCCTTTTCTGCCTTGATTTATGCTGTAATGTACCCACAGTGAGACATTTAGTGGGGCTGAGCCATGGTGTCCCCACAGTGGGTCATGTTAGAGGGGATGGCAGAGGCAGAGGGAGCTAACAGGGAAACACGGAGGTCTGGGGCCTGCATCCCAAGCCCTCCACTTAGTAATACTAACACATCCTTGCCTAAGTGTCAACCATCATGCACCTCAGTTTCTTCGTCTGTAAAATGGGGATAAGAAGTACTAACTTCAAAAGGTTGCTGTGAGAATAAATTGAATAATGTATTTGAAAGCACTTCATAAATTTCAGTTTATGGGTGCGGGAAAGGCAGTCACTATCACAGCATGACTGGAACAGGACCACTACCAGGAGCCCAGGCTCACTGGAAGTAAGATGCCACAGTCTGGTTTCCTAATCAATGCCTGTACCCATGAGAAGACTGACTCTTGTACAAAAATATTAAGGCTGATGAATGGAGTCAAGTCAAAAATACTTCTAGCACCTTAGGAAAATCATCGTGAGTAAACCAATGATATGTGCTAAAACTCCTCATTCATCACTCCATCGTAGGCAACCTACATGTAAGTGTGTGTTTTCCTTGTACATAAGCTAGGCTGCTTCAGGTTCTCTTTGAAATTTAGAGAGACCAAAGTGGAACAGCATTCACCCAGGGTGAAAAAAGCAGGCATGCTTGAACTTTTTATTCCTTTTCTTTTTTTTGAGATGGAGTCTTGCTCTGTGGCCAGGCTGGAGTGCAATGGCGCAATCTTGGCTCACTGCAACCTCCGCCTCCCAGGTTCAAGTGATTCTCCTGCCTCAGCCTCCCTAGTAGCTGGGACTACAGGCGCATGCCACCATGTACAGCTAATTTTTTAATTTTTAGTAGAGACGGGGTTTCACCATGTTGGCCAGGGTGGTGTCGATCTCTTGACCTTGTCAGCCACCTGCCTCGGCCTCCCAAAGTGCTGGGATTACAGGCATGAGCCACCGTGCCTGGCCAAAGATTTTATTTCAATTCACACGTCACAACACTTTAAACAAAAGATCCCACCAGTGGTGCACAGATTTTAAGATGGCCCCCACGGATCCCACCTCCTGGGGTTCACGCCTGTGTGATTTGCTCCTGTTACGTGTGGGCAGGACCTGTCATTTGGTTCTAACCAACAGAAATGACAATGGTAGCTGGGCGCAGTGGCTCACACCTATAATCCCAGCACTTTCAGAGGCCGAGGCGGGTGGATCACCTGAGGCCAGGAGTTCGAGACCAGCTTGACTAACATAGTGAAACCCCGTCTCTACTAAAAATACAAAAATTAGTTAGACATGGTAGTGCATGCCTGTAGTCCCAGCTAGTTGGGAGGCTGAGGCAGGAGAATCACTTAAACCCAGGAGGCAGAGGTTGCAGTGAGCTGAGATTATGCCACCGCACTCCAGCCTGGACAACAGAGTGAGACTCCATCTTTTTTAAAAAAAAAAAAAAAGAAAAGAAATGGCAGTGGCGACTGGATGTCACTTTCATGAATCATCTGCATAAGGTTCTGACTTCCATCTGGCCAGCAGATTCTCTCTATAGACACTCTCTCTCACTGGCTTTGACGAATAAGCTGCCATGCTGTGAGCTGCCCTATGGAGAACCTAACATGGCAAAGAACTGAGGCCCTTGGTCCAACAGCCAGTGAGGAACTCAATCCTGCCAACAACTACAGGAGCCCGGAAATGGATCCTTCCCTAGTCAAGTTTCAGATGAGACCCCAGCCCTGGCTGACACCTGGGTGGCAGCTTCAGGAAA